TTACAAGACTAACTTTTGTATTTAAAAGAAATCTGTCAAACCAATTCTATTACGGTGTCCGTCAACATGATCCTACTCTCAGTATTAGTTTGTACGCCTCTTCTTCCTCTTGTTTTATCAATATTCATTGAATTTCTTATTATTGCGTAATTATTCATTGTTTATAAACTAATTACTCCAGAATGAGCGATTTCATGTTGTCTATTCCTGAATGGAACCTCGCCTTGTAAACTAGTTCACTAGTTACTAGCCGGTCCTAAGCCCGGGTAAAGAGGGAAGTTTGGGCATAGGGCTAGCAACCCTACCCCCTAAAACAAATCTAACCGCTAAACAAACTTCAAAGCACAAACAAAATATAAATAATGAAAACAAACTTATTCCCCGCTGGAATCGGAGAGGCGAAATGACGCCAGTTGGTGAAAGCCTTCAGGAAGCCGATTGGCCGATGTGTCTTCTCTCCCTCGATGAAAGCGAAAGTAAACGTGGGGACATGGAATGTCCGCACGATGTTTGAACCCAGTAAGGCAGCCCAGATTGCAAAGGAGCTGAGAAGGTGTCACATCGAGGTGCTTGGGAGTTGCGAAAGCAGATGGAATGGGAGTGGACTCTCCAAACTGTCAACTGGAGAATCAATAATCTACTCCAACATTCTCACCCAGACGCCAACCACGTGCACACTGAGGGAGTGGCTATCATGATGTCCCCAACAGCATCGAAGGCTCTCATGCAGTGGGAACCAATCTCCTCCAGGATCATGACAGCAAGATTCAACTCAAAAGGAAGGAAGGTCACAATCATACAATGTTATGCACCTACAAATAATGCAGAGCAAGAGAAAAAGGAGGAATTCTACAGACAACTTCAATCAACACTGGACAAGACCACCTCAGTTGGCGATATCAAAATTCTAATGGGTGACATGAATGCCAAACTGGGAGGGGACAACACAGGAAGAGAACTAACCATGGGTCGAGAGGCGCTAGGTGAAATGAATGAGAATGGAGAGTTGTTTGCAGAATTCTGCGCATTCAACGATTTGGTGATTGGAGGCAGTGTGTTCAGGCCCAAAGATATCCACAAAGGGACATGGATTTCACCAGACACCAGGACACACTAAAAATCAAATCGACTTAATCTCAATCTCGAGAAAGTGGAGAGGCAGTCTACTTGACACAAGGTGAAGAAGAGGAGCAGATGTAGGTTCAGACCACTCACTGTCTAGTGCAAGGAACCTTCGAAATCAAGTTAACAGCCTTCAAGGAAGCTGGTGATAGACCACAGTTCAAGTACAACACTCGGGAACTGAAGGATGAAACTACAAAGGAGATCTTCACGGCAGCCAGCCATCAAGACAAAATGGGAGACAGCGAGCAACATCCCTGAAGAAACCTGTGTGGGAGAACACTGGAAGTCTTTGAAAGCTATGTGGAAAGAAACCTGCACAACAGTATTAGGAAGGAAGAAGAAAGAAGACAAGGAATGGATCTCGACGGATACCTGGAAGCTGATAGATGAGGGAGAGGAGGATGGTGAAGCAGAAGATAAACCAGTGCAAGGACGCTCAACGACAAGAGGAACTGAGTACAATGTATAAAACACTGAACAAAGAAGTAAAGAAGAGTGCACGCAAAGACAAAAGACACTTCTACGACACACTGGCAAGTGAAGCAGAACAGGCTGCTGGTAGGAGAGACCTGACGACATTGTATCGAATAACCAGGTTGCTGTCTGGGAAGAGATCAACACAGATGAAACCAATAAAAGATGAAGAAGGAAATTTAATTACGAGAGAAGAGAAACAGAGGAAAAAATGGGCCGACCACTTCAAGAAGCTCTTGAATCGACCACCACCACCACCTGCACTTCGTCCAGAAATACCACCTGCAGCCGCTGAATTACAAGTGAACATAAATCCTCCAACGAAAATGGAAGTTCTGGACGCCATAAAGCTACTGAAATGCGGGAAAGCAGCAGGACCAGATGGAATACCGCCAGAAGCACTGAGAACAGACGCAGAGAAAACAGCGGACATGCTCACACCATGCCACTATTACAGAAGGTGTGGAAGGAAGAGAAGGTACCTGCCTATTGATTGGAAGAAGGGTTACCTTGTCAGACTGCCGAAGAAAGGAGACCTCAGTGTTTGCAAGAACTGGTGCGGAATCACTCTCCTGTCCACCCCAAGTAAAATATTAGGCCGCATCATCCTGGAGAGGCTTGAAGATGCGCTGGATTCAAAACTACGACCGGAACAGGCAGGCAGGCTTCAGGAAGTACAAATCATGTGCAGACCAAATTGCAACGCTACGCATCATCATAGAACAGAGCATAGAATGGCAATCAGCTCTCTACCTCAACTTCATCGACTTTGAGAAGGCCTTTGACAGCGTCGACCGAGAAGTAATTTGGAAGCTGCTTCACTACTACGGAGTACCGCAAACCTTTATCCGCCTCATACAACAACTATATGAAGATGCCACATGCCAAGTAATTCACAATGGGAAGCTCAGTGATGATTTTGAAGTGAAGTGAAGAACAGGAGTGAAACAAGGTTGCCTACTATCCCCCATGATATTGCTGATTGTGGTCGACTGGAACATGCAGCAAACAGTGGGGAGCTGTGAGAAGAGGGGGATACGCTGGCTGGACTGCGGAAAAGAACCTAGAAGATTTGGATTTCGCCGATGACTTGTGCCTGATGTCACATGAACTTGAAGATCTGCAGGCAAAAACTAACATATTGATAGAAAAAAAGAGGCAGCGAAGACGGGGCTTCAGGTGAATATAGAGAAGACAGAGGTGATGAAGATACCGCACCACACCACCAGCAACAACAACAAACTCCAATCACCATCAACGGGAGAAACTTGAAGGAAGTAACCTCCTTCACCTATCTAGGAAGCACTGTTTCAACTACAGACGGCACAGACGAGAATGTCAAAGTCAGAATCGGAAAAGCAAGACAGGTGTTCATTAGCCTGAAACCAGTGTGGAGATCTACTGCACTCAGCATGCGGAACAAGATACGGATTTTCAACACCAACGTCAAGTCAGTGCTCCTGTATGGCTCAGAGACTTGGCGCGTCACGAAAGGCATTTCCAATAAACTACAGACATTCATCAACAACTGCTTACAAAAGCTCGCTACTGAAGATCAGATGGCCAGAAAGAATAAGCGACAAGGAACTTAAGAAAGGTCACCACTCCAAAATAACACACTTTCACTTGCTCTCCGGATTTCCGGTGCAAACAAATCCATATCTTAGATTTTTATCACATTTGTATGTGACCAACTCCAAATGAATTCCTCTTGGTCTCCGTGATCATACAAAACTAATCTTCCTCCTCTTCTACGCATCTACCATGACTGAAAGTAACCTTGTAAATATGAAAAATGTTTAAATCGTAAATTGAAAAGAAAATATTTACATTCTCAGATATATGAGTTGGCTAATTCGATCTACTATATCACCAATGGTTTTGTACATACGTGAGTCTAGCCATCTTCTGCCTGCAACGACCATGTCTCACAGCCGTTTAACAGGACTGAACGGACTGCAGTGTAGTATACTGGTTCTTTGGTAGAAAGCCAGATATCTGACCAATGCCACAGGTGACGCAAGTTGGTGAATGTCAAATGGACCTCTATCTGAGCTGAGATTTCGTCAACAACCAGCCCGTTCAGAATGATGCAACTCCGCAAGTAAATGAAGTGATCGACACATTCCACATTCCACTTCACTCCCTGTCATGAAGCTGTAAGTAGTTGCAGACCAGTCGTGGAGAATCGTTTCACATTTGACAGATGCCATTGAGACGCATACTGAACATACTCAAGATGTTCAGAAGTTTTCACCCTGCCGGACAATATCGTCTGCATACTCCTAGTCAACTAGATACCTTCCAGTGAGTAGATCAGTCCCTGTGAATGTTATGTCCATTAGCACGTCTATGATGACGGTAAATAGGAACAGTGCCAGTAGAAATCTTCGGCGGACACCATTAGTTGTCACTTCTGTTGAAAACTCTCCATATGCCCTCAAACGACTGCGTTAGTTCTAGTAAAGAGCTTTGGTCAGTGTTCTAGACTTTCTTGGTACTCCCTTCGCAGTCCGACACCGCTATAACACCTCACGGCTGCCAACAAGTACAAACGTAGTCCTTAATAGGCTTTCTGTTCAATGACTCTTGCCATCCAGCAATGGTTGAACTTGAAGTGAAACCCTAACTATGGTAGAATTTTAAACCAAACATATCTAAGTTAGCAACCCGGTTCTTTGCTAATTGAGTTACGATGAACAAACTATGCTATCCGCTGCTCATATTGGTGAGATTCTTCGAAGTGAGATGTTCTGAAGTTCCAATGAGTAGTCGTGACCGGTGGGGCAAACCACGTTGGATGTGGGGACGATACTCAACGATAGCATTGAATGAAGGTCTCACTATACCAGGAATTGACAGAACTAGGAAGGTGCGAACCACTGGATTCTAACCTAGTAGCTTATTGGCAATGTGCTCGCTACGAAATGTTACAGTCCTGGGTTCGACCCCCGACAAGGTCGTGGGTTCACACTACTGAAGAGTCCCATACTACTGGGACGAAACAACTACCCAGTTACTTCAGATTTTTAAGATTTCTCCAACTGATGTCATTTTGTAGTGTGTACCACATCTCCATAAACCTCCAAACTGAATAAATCAACTGCCATTACTGAACTTTGTGTCTTATTGTATGTGGGTTCTTCATCATACTAATTACTCAACCAGTGTGTTGTCATACCTTAATCCGAATTTAGTTGAATTACATTGAGATGGGACATTAAGGATGTAATGATTGGCTGCTAACTAGATAACTCCGTTTGATAGAAGGATCTATAAATTTACAACTATGTTGATTGAAGTGAAATTTAGACGTGAACAAATTATATCTAACCTCAATACCATCCATGCATGAGTGTAGTTTGATTCGATGTTTAACATGCCTTTCTTCTCTATCCTAGATTTTCAACAAAACAATCAAACAAGCAAATCAGTTGTGCAAACAGATTGCTGAAATTGTAACGAATGAAATATTAGATTTAGAATTGTATAAACTTGTCCATCGTGAACTAACCTTAGAGTTCATTTACGTAAGTTTTTTATCTTTTATATTTGAGTGAATGAATTGAATTCAAAAACTATGTGAAGCTTTTAGCATTAAACAATAAGGTACACTTATTGTCGTAGGCTTTTGATGATACCAGATGGTTACTGAAACCTTGATAGGTGGTAGGCGGAGACGGGGTTCAAACTTGTGACCGATTGGTTTAGAGTTAACTATCTAAGAAGTGGCTATCGTTCCTCCGTGATATAGTGGGTAACGCCTTAGCGTTTGAAGCGATGGGTGCGAGGTTCGAGTCTCAATGGGAACAACACTCACTGGGGTGCAGGTACATCCATCTGACAAGTCTTGAATAGAACGAAACACGCGTCTTGGATTCCTCTGCTAGCCACAGTCAACTAAATTACCAAGTTATCTCTTCAATTTATGAATCATCATGGTTTTTGACTTTTGAGCTATTTCGATTACAGTTTTATTGAATACGACATACATTGCGACTGATGTGTTTACTGAAAGCTAGCTGATGCTTCTCTCTATTTCTGTAATTTGATGTGCATTGAGTTAAAGTCAACTTTTGAAAATTAATCGGACGCGTAGACGACTCGTTTACTCCTCTGTTGTTGGACATTTAAGCTTCGTAGGTTAAAAATCCACCTGGTCACTCGATTGCTGGATTCATTAGTCTTTGACTAAGTCTAGAACATCATGGTTCATTCAACTAAGATCTTGACGGTTAGTTACCACTCTATCATTATAATACGCATTACGAACAGCCTTTTTATCTCACTTAGAAATCTTTCGTTTGTTTGACATTTGGTCTGTTTGGATAATTTACATTATTTAGTGAATTGTTACACGTCAGAAGAGATGTTCCGTTTACTGTACCTTATCATTTAAGGATATTCCTCACCAAAGGTTAGTCAGAGGAAGAAAACAAAAACATTGAGCAGCAAACTATTCTTTCATTTCAAATTACTATTCTTCAACAAGACACTCTCTCGACTCCTAGGCGGTACAGAGTGTCATCGGACTCCGTGGTGAACATGATAGTAGAGATTTTAGTGTCTGATGACATTAACTAGCTTTATAATTAACTCATACTTTTAGTTATTTTCTTTGAGGCTGAATAGAGTTAAATAGGATCCCTTGAAAACAGTTGACTGTAGAGTAACTGCCTAAACAATGGACAACACAGATTGACAACTGACTTAAATGTGCAGAAATTCCTCTTCCTTTAAATGCCACCGTAAACAGTGTATGTGGATGCTGAGAGTACTATTTTTCCAGCTTTAATTTCTGTATTAATAATGGATAATGGCCTAGCAGTGGAATCTAGGACACGCGTTTCCTCCTACTTGGGATTCATCAGCTGGATATATCTGCTTCTGAGTGAGCGATGTCCTTCCTACTTTACCTTCTGTCGATATTTACTTTTTTTCATGGTAATCTCTTCACAATGTGTACATTTTTCGTATACAATGGTTGTAACTCCATCGGCAATTTGACTTATCATTTATGAAGCTGTGACTTTTTAATTCAGACACTCAGATTCCAATCTCAGTAGGTTTCAGATTCAAATTCTGCTTAACCTTTTGAGCTTTCTGTGGTGTGTTGTATCACTAACTCGTAGTCAATAGATAGTCATAACTCGAATGGTCCCTTATCCTCTGAATTGCATATAGATATGCCAGTTAATATTTTTATTAAAATTCATCAGCTTATTGTTACTTTTTTTTCTTTTCTCTCCGACAGAAGGAATTCATTGCCAATTAATTGATGAACAGTTGCATCGTTTGGCAACGTCTTCTTTAACCAAATCAATGGCTATGTCATTATATGACTATTCGTTAATTAAGCGTTGTTTTAATCGCTTCCACTATGTTATATGGAAACGTGAAGAGGTTATACAACATCAGATTCTATTGAATACAATGCCAACACCTGTCGGTGCTGATTGTCTACCATTACGTTTGATGACTGTAAACAATCAGATTAAGAGTAATATGGAACAGTTTAAATTGTCTTGTAACTTATCATCAGGTATAGATAAACATTCCTCACATGTTGAAAACAAATCTCCACTATTGGTTAATTCAATGACATCAAGGTTTCTGCCAGAAATTTCTAAAGTTAGTTCTGTTTCATAGTAAATTCTCATTTCATATCTTTGTAAGTTTTTAACTGAGAGAGTCAATAGATGGAATGATCAGAAAAAATAATGTTTAACCTTGAATATAGAAGTACATCAGTTGAAGTTGCCACAATTCACAGTATCATGACAAGAACAAGTGGATAAAAAGAGATTGATATGAAAGTAGACAAAAGTAATATGGGAGGAGAGAGAATTTAAAAATTAAGGTTAGTTAAAGCATTCAAGCTTTCGAAGACATCAAAGAATGAGTACATCTACCCGATTGTGACCGATTTCTATCGACTTGAGAATTGTAAGCAGATAGATATTGATTCTAAGCCATATCGCCTACAGTTTCCAACCAGCTATTTCTGTTGTTATGCAAACTTTAACCGGTAAGTTTACCTATCTTTGCAAGACTCAGACCAGTTATCAAAGACTTCATGAACTGATGCCATATTGTAGTCTTACCGCTTTTATCCTTTTTCCTACGAATGTCACGATATTCCTAGAGGTACTTTAGATCTATGGCTACCTTCCTAGTTTTGGGTATGCGAAGCTTTATATCGCTTGCCACACCACTAACAATACCAAGATATACTGAAGAAAAGAGCGGAGGGTGAATCAGAGAACGATCGTTTATTACTGATAAATTATTATAGCTTTTGGTTGAAATATCGATCTGTACAATATGTTGAAGTCCATCATCTCATTATTCCATATCGTCTTGCTATTGATGCGACCACGTCATCTGCGCTTCACGGGCATAATAATTATCTATGGCTCGTTATTCCCTATGACTTCCTATCTATCAACATGTACTACTTATATACACTCTTATCAGTAGCATCCAATACCGTACTACTTTAAGTAACATTTAAAGAAAACAGTCGATTGTAGATAACACGAAAAACAGTTTTAGTGCTCAGAAGCTTATCAGTCGTTTATCTGAGATACGCTGAATATCACTGAACTATTTGGTAAATATTGTGGATGTAACCAATTCGTTTACGACCCAATCGAAAGCTGGGGAGTCAATTACTCGCATACTTTTATAGTCTGCAAAGGAAAATGAAAGTTGATACTTAAAAATACTGGTTCCAGTGCGAAAAGTTCTATGATGTGCTTTTCTAAGAGTTATCTTCTTTAACGTGGTAGGTACTGATCGACAATGAAATATAAATCTGTGATCAGTCTTAACATAGGAATAAAACATGGCCACTGTGGTCCATTGTAATACCATTCTAGTCTGTTGATTAGAAATGTCACACAGTGAAGGAACAGTATCATTTACTGGATAACAACGTTTCGGACACAATTTATTGTCCATATTGATATCAGGTAACTCCACAACTTTGAGACACAGTTTATATTATTCCTAATTTTCTCTCCTCCGTGATGATATGGCTAGTGAGTTTTTCATATATCTGCGACAGGTACAGAATCATTTCGATTGCTGCGTGTACTTGGTGTTGATTCGACGAACAATGATTCGGTTATCAATCTCTTCCTCCACCTAACTAAGTTAGTTCTTTAACACACTGTTGCTCTATCCCACCCTACTGTGTGATTGTGTGTAATTGCGTACAGAGCTATAGCCGAGCGTTTCTCTAAATTTCTTTTCTTCTTCTTATTTATCCCTTGGGTTCCTAGTGGAACATAGGCTTCCATAACACGTCACCATTTCACTCTCTTCTCTCCAGTCTTTTCAACCTCGCTCAAAAACTACCCACAAGCTCTCATTTCTTCCTCACACCATCTCCTACATATCAACCTCAGGTGGGACGACCAACTCGTCGTTTCCCATTCTCGTTCCACTCGACGGACTGGCCACGCCTGGTCGTGTGGTGTCCCCAATTGGTCTTCTCACTCTATACCCAATACAATCAAAACAATCCAATTCAATCCAATCCAATCTAAACCAATCCAGTCCATCTCCACACTCTTCTGCATAGTTGTTGGGTGGTGGGTTCTTGGTTGGTTAGTTGGTTCGTCGCCAGCCACACTGAGTTCCTTGTTGCTTATTCTTATTATTCTGGCAATCCATGTGATCTCCATCTTCAGTATCGAGTGAGTCAGTGAGTCAGTGAGTGAGTGAGTGAGTGAGTGAGCGTAGGTGGCAGCTGTTGATGAATGATGTCTACAGTTTGTTGGAAATGTTTTTGGTGACGCGCCAAGTCTGTCGACCATCACATCGAAGCACTGACTTACTTGACTGACTTAGTGTTGAAAATCCGGATGTTGTTGTTCACGCTTTATGCTGAGTGGAGTGGAGTGGAGTGGAGTGGAGTGGATCTCCACACTGGTTTCAGGTTAATGCAGGAAGGCCTGTCTTGCTGTCTTTCACATCCTGTCTGTCTTTCACGTCGTCATCTGTGCCTGTGCTGCCTGTAGTTGAAACGATGCTGCCTGCCCAGGTAGGTGAAGGAGACTACTTCCTCCTTCAGATTTCTCCCGTTGATGGTGATTGGTGCTTGTAGTTGTCGTAGTGGTAGTAGTAGCAGTAGTTGGTTGGTTGGTTGGTTGGGTAACTTGATCACCTCTGTCTTTTCCACGTTCACTTGAAGTCAAATCCTCGCTGCCCTGCCCTGTCCTGCCTCTTCTTCACATCTTCCACAACACATTAGACATAAATCATCATCGGTGGTGAAATCCAAATCTTCTAGAGTCTTTTCATCCATCCAACCAGCGTATCCCCATCTTCTCACAGCTCCTCACGGTTTGCTGCATGATCCAGTTGATCACAATGAGGAAGATGATCGGTGATAGTAAGCGGCAGCCTTACTTCACTCCTTGCTGTCTTCACGTTAGTTCGAAGGCGTCACTGAGTTTTGCATTGTGAATCAGTTGGCATGTACCATCTTCATATAGCACATAGCTGCTGTTGTTGAATGAGGTTGATCAAGGTCAATGTTTGTGGCACTAAAATTGTAGTGTTGAAGCAGCTGTCTGCCAGATTACTTCTCAGTCGACGCTATCGAAGGCCTTACCAAAGTGGAAAAAGTTGAGGTTGAGAGAGAGAGAGAGGAGAGAGAGAGAGAGAGAGAGAGAGAGAGAGTAGCCATTCTATCATTCTGCGCTCTCTTCTATGATGATGCGTAGCGTACTATTGCAATTTGATCCTCACATGATTCGTATTTCGTGAATCCAGCGTCCTACAGTTGCACTTGTGAATCGAGAGGATGATGTAGGTTAATATTCTGCATAGGGTGGACAAGGGTGGAGCATGATTCCATGCCAGTTCTTGCAAAGACCATGGTTACCCTTCTTTCGGAGTTTGACAACGTAGCCCTTCTTCTTATAAACAGGAAGATACCTTTCCCTCCTTCCTTCCTTCCTTGCATGCTTGCAAACCTTCTACAATAGTGGTGTAGTGTGAGCATTTCCGCTGTTGTCTCTGTCTGTTTTTAGTGCTTCCGGTGGAAAACCATCGTGTCCTGCTGCTGAGCTCAGCAACAGTACTATCATGGAACATATTAGACTGTAAGGCCATTCGGAATCTGTACGTAACTCATTCGATGTGATGTATGATTTGCGAGTACTCCGTTTAAACGGCTTTCGTTCACGTCTTCTTTAAAAAGCGCAAGCTCTTACTGTTTATAAAGAAAATACTAAACCTTTGGTATATATTTTATCATTTTCAGTCCCTTTTACTTGCATCCCACTAGTTTCACAACGCTTCAGTTTTCGAAGTGGTGTTCATCTCGGAATCACTGTGAACGTGGAACCGCTGAACAGGTGATTCCTCCTGTTATTCGGCTTCCTCAGCAGTGAGAACTGAAGAAGGCGTCAAGAATCCGACTTACGACCATTCGGTGCCACAGCAAGCTTGATATCATTCAGCTATTGATTTTGAATGCGGCGGTGCGCATTTTCTCAGTGTTCTCAATCTCTACACACCGGCGAAGTTATTTACTGTCACTTGCTCACTACTGACACACTTCGCAAAAACTTTCAATGAATAGGCATAACCTGTGGGATTGACCAAGTTGGATGTTGATAGGAATGCTCAGTTGATGACTTTAGTTGATGACCGAGGTATATCATGCATTGATAGGAGTAAGAGAATTCGGAACAGTGGATTTCGATGCAATGGCTGAACCAAAACATGCTCTCCCCAACACCAACCAGTTATCGGTTCGATCGTAGTCGAGGTAATGGATAGACATTTCTGAGGAGTCGCAAACTAGAACAAACAAAGGCATTCAGTGCACCCAGGTTAGGGAAATAATAATGTTCGTCCACCCTTTCCGAGTGAAAAGAAGACAGGCACCTCTGAGCTCTATTCATCACTTCATGTCTGCATATGCTTTATACGTATGATTGACATTCTAATCCCTACATTATGCTATTTTCTTCTTCAGATTCACTGTTCAATACTTTGAGTTGCCAACTGATGTGCTAATCTTTGTTGGTTGTTTCACACTATTCATTATATCTTTAAAATACTTTTAAATTGCGCATATATGGTAGGAAGTTGGGAGTAGAATCCTTTTCACTTATCGATGTTGCTTTGATATATTGTTACGCTGGCGACAATAATGCGCATCATGATGATCGTCATGAAAAATATCGATCACAGTAAAAGACAACATTTTAAGGGTGAAAACACGTGGAATCTTACTAAAATATTGCACACATCCACTCTTTTTTTTGAAACCAATCCCTGACTGATTCTCTAGGCCGTTAAATTAGAAAATGGACACTTACACTAGAGAAAGAATGATTGTTAGCCCAATTGAAAATACCGACTGAATCCCAATCAACTGTAGTATCTATTTGATGATTATATGGAATTACATGAGTTGTATTTTACAGAATGGACTGACTTACTTTTGCAATCTCAGATACTGAACTCACTTGTCCTATGAGCTCATTTCCAATCTGATGTTGCATTTTCCCTGGTAAGATGGGAAGATTGAAAATAACTGTAGACTGTAAATTTGCAACAGAATAAGGTGTTTGGGGAAGTGTTGAAGTGAAGTTTCAGTAACGAAATGTTTGTTTCATTGAAATGTGATCTTGCTCCCGGTGATGTCGTCAACTGGTTTTCGCCAAGTCAACTTGACGGTGTACTCGTATTCAACCAGTAGGGCCACGTGGATGCTAACCGTCGAACACACAATCCCATCACCCACATTAAGAGAAATTCCGTGAGCATGCAGACAGTTTAGGTATCTGAGTGTTATATTTATAAGAATTCGATAGGCAATCACTTAGCTCACATTCTTAGTTTGTCTATCAGAGGGAATCAGGTGAGTGTCAATCATCATGTAACTATTCTTCTCCACATTGCAAACACGAAATCCCATGAGCCAGATGTTCATTTGTTTATAATGACCTTATGGCTGTGACGGCTTAAATGTGCTCCATCGGCTGGATATTTGGACAGTGACTGGAAGTATCTGCACCATTGAATGACAAGATATTTCAATGTTTGAATTTCACAAGTAATTGTCACATTCATTTCATAAAAGCATCCGTGGCATCGGTATTTAATGTGTTTGGCACACCTTTATTAGTACACATGGTGAAGAGATACCCTAGCATGCCTCTGCACACGAGATCCCTACCACCAATTCATGTCTGTAACAAACAATGGTCATCGTTTCACCGTACATGACTTGGTGATTCCTTTATAGATCTTTAGGAATGGCCAAATTGGATGACCGAATTACCAGTGGAACCATATCACCCATCAGTCATTCACCTGACATTCATAGGTGTCCAGTAATCGCTCAACCCTATGAT